CGGGCGACCATCACGAAATTCGTCACTGAGATTCGCACGACCGCGTTTGAATTCTGCAAACCAGCAATAAATAATCGTCTTGCATGGTGCTTCATCGCTAAAAGCAGTTTGAAGCCGAGTGAAGTTCCGCTGAGCTGTTAAATTACACTTAAAGTCATAGAAAATCATACTACGAAAATTTTCACGAGTTAAATCCATGGTGATGTAGACAACCAATTTCTAAAATGACGCCACAATGTAAAAATAAGTGACAGTCAGATGAAACAAACTGTATTCTACAGCCAAAGAGTTTCATTTTCAAATGTTTACTTTTTGAATATTGTTTATGTAAGTGGCCAGTTCCGGAAACTTATAGTGCGCCCCATGTTATAGTCTGTCTTTTTTGAATATGGAGTAAAATGACAGTTTATTGCGCAAAATTGTTGCCCGCTTGCAAGATGCTCGAGTATCGACTGAATGTTGGTTACGAAGGCAATAAATAACCGAATTTGTTTCATTTGAATTATCATGAGCTCATTATTCGTCCAACTTCGAACTGCCTCCGTGGCCGAACGATTACCACGCCGGGTTCGGTTCCCGGGCCGGGAGAAATATTTGTATTTTTTAATTTGTGGTTGTCTATGTGTGTATCCATGACACTCGCGACACAGGGTTTCCCTAGTGCGGGGTTACGTTGAGTGTGTGCGTTATAAACTGCTGGGCGCAGGTTCATTTAATTTCTATAATAATCGTTCTTTGTAAGCACCAATTTTGCACATATTTTGCTTAGTGTACGTCCGGATCTCGTGTAAATGTCATTTATTCATCTGACCCACTATCGGATACTAACCTCCATATTTCATTCACCTTTCCTACCGAGTGACAATTTAAAAAGCCGATCACTTTTCGGCAACCTCAACAGATCTTTCAATTTAAAACTGTTTATTTAGATTTTCGAATCAGACAAAGTGCCACATGCTAGAAGTGTCCGGAGCGGAGTGTGAGAAGATATCCGTGTTCGATTCCCACGCGTGCCACGCGGCGCTTGTGGCGTCGCGCGCTAGTGATGTCTTAGACAGTAACTATTTGGTGTCACGTAATTAATAATTGTGGTATTTATCACGTAACTGTTTGCATGAGTACCTAATTAAGTAAATATTATTATGATCAAGCAAAAGGTAAGCCACTGCTGAAAATGTGACTGCCTTATAGATGTAACAACGGACTGTGTATAGTGAACGAGAACCAATAATAATATTTGTATGCAAAATCACTACTAAATGACTTTTTTCAGTTTTGTCAAATTCAACAAATGTAGGAGAACAAGCTTTTAATTAAAATTTCTAGAAAAATCATAGATTAAAGTATAGTTTTGCCTTCTCCAAATTTTAATTAAAAGTTTTTTAATAAATTATGTTAGCAGAGTATTGCCGATCGAATTTCTTGGTCAGAAATTGTATTGGATAAACGCCTTAATTGTCTTATTGCTTACAAGCACGGTTCGACATTATAAATATTTTTATTTTCTTTGATAATTATCATGATAATATTAGTCAACCGTGTCCTTGGGACCTGTAAAGGGCCCGAAGCGTCGGTTTGTTTGAAAAAACAAATATACGCGATCATATCCGGAAAAACAGTTTCATTTCCTATGTGTAACAATCGCGAAAACCTAAGAAATCGATATATCATGATAATTGTTTAATAATTATCCGGTACATAACCGAGAATTATTCATGCTGATTCATAGTTTTGTCTCTTTAATTTTTGACTAAACATGTCAAACAGTGAGAAACCTCAATCAAACAAAACACGAAGAAAATCTTTGGAAAAGCAATTTGGTGTGCAACGATATCTATGTACTAGCGTACTATACACACGCCGCGTTGGAATACACAACACTTCAATATCATGGATTAATTAGCAACATAGTGTTCTGACTTCATAATAACAGATTAGAGAAGATATGAATAAAATAGTTACTATACCATATATAAATTAAAAAAAAAAAAAGATTAGCCTGCATGGTCTAAGACCGCTGTTTTCCGCAAGGAAAAGTACATAGCATAACATGAATAATTTCAACAACTCGATTGTATTTTTTCTTTTAGTTAATAGTTTTTCTTTTTAGTAGTATAGTATATATAAATAGTAAGCGAAAGGTCCCTGGGTCAAACCAAAATGAAAAGTATTGTGCAACTAATAGCTTTTTTGCCAGGGCCTTTACGTTGATTCCCCTACTATGGATAAATATCATTGGTAAACACTTAATATTATCTGCCTGTCTAGCTCAATTCATTCCCAATACATTCCCAATACTGTCACGTCAGTCCATGGTACTACCTGATACTCTTTAACAAAATTCAACACTAAAACAAAACGCTTTCACTATTGATAATGTTTTATTTGGAACGTGTATAATATGAATGTTCTTGTCTATAGATTAAGTCGTTGGATGTATGATTTTTTTGACATTGACATTTGAAACGTCTCGGATACGAATATGTGACACAACATTGCTAGCGGTAGCATTTAGTTGTTTTGAATTAATTTTACAAAAAATATTATTATCATTTATAATTATCATGCTAATTATAAATGATAATTTTCACTTCGAACCCTGCCTATAAGTACAAACTTGACGAACGTAAAACATCACACGTATTCAAAGAACGAAAATTAACATTATAGTTAATGAAATCCGAAAAAAATATCCGAAAGATTGACGTCACTAGTGGTATTTATAAACAAAGCCGCCCACACTTTCGGTGCTCTTAGCTAATGATAATGAAGCAATTATGTACGGTGATATACGATGGCACCGTTACTCCGAGCGTGCGAACAAGGATTTTAACTTTTTTTATCTTTTTATCGACGCCAATTTTATATTTAAGCTACGATTTTAAAACTTGTGTTGTGCTTTTAATTTGTTTATACTATATATGTATATATATTAGTATTGTTATATTAATTAACATTTACAATAGTGTATGAAATTATGAATATTAAATTTTAATCACATTTTATTTTCATAAGTTATTTAATGTATCACGTATAACTAACATATTTGTTATTTTTGTTTTAATTTGCAGTAATCGCTTATGGAAATTGATTATATATAATAAAGTAAGCCCTCTCAAATTGTGACTAACCACGATCGTTTATGTAAATTGATGACGAAACTTATTAATGACGTCAACCTAAAACAAGTCGGGTCTATACAAATACCACGGTGACGATGACGAAGGTATACGATTACAAGATTTTTTATTTTATAGCATCATTTGATATTGCTCGATTGTTTTATGGTTTTTTTCTGGAGATACCACTGGTTGGTGAGTCAGACAGTAAACGTGCTAAGTATGCACTTACACTTTTTTTAAATATAATTCAACAATAACTTGGTAATGTAAAGTCGTGCTGAGTATAGTGAACGGGAATCATAAATAATATCTGTAGGCTCGTAATTACAGCAAGTTATAATGTAATTTTTTTAAGCAAGCCTGTTCGATAGCGTACGGTCGAATACACGTAGCGGGTATGTTCACAAACAACTGACATACTAAATTATTTTTATAAAATTGAGGCTTTCAGAATGAAATCGAATGCAAATTATTCAGTTTTTTTTTCGCGTCTCTTTATGTCTGTAAAACATTAGAAAGTTCTATGATATTCTAGACAGCGTCAACGTCCTTTATAGGTCGTAGAAACCGGTGTGAATTTCACGTGTCATATGACGTATCACGAGAAGTGACTACCTCGTGTGATCGCCTTTTCTCAAGCTTGCAACGGCCGGTGAGTCAGAGAGAATGTTGTCATTGTTTAGTCTAAGGTCCAGCGAAGTCTGTAGGTCCTTGTATGCATTTGTTGTAGACACAATACTCACGCTTCGCCGCGCCGGAAGTCGCCCCGATAACACGTGAGGTTTGTTTCATCCACAATGGAATGTTGGATTTACATTTTTTTAAAGCATTTCAAAAACAAACAGATCCGTTTGAGGTTTTAACGTTTTTTTTTTATTAAGATAGGGAAATGATGTTTACTTTGATTTAGTCAAAAATTGTGAGCCAAGGAACGGGGGAATTTACTGTTAAGTTCATTACAATACAGTTTTTATATGCCTTCATTGTAACATAGCCCACAATTATCTTGTTTTTAAACAGTAACTTTTACAGCTCTAATGTAGTCGGGGGGAAAACAAAAAATTTGAAGACCAAAGGGCCAGCATGCGCCAATCTTTACCTGACTGGAGAAAACGCACCGCAACAACCTTTTCGACTTGTCCCATTTTGAACCGTGCCATTTATTACCAAATGGTTTTTGTCTACTCTTGTTATGTCTTGTCTTTTGGCGCCGACAAAGTGAAGGTCAGAAGACCGCATACATCAAAGGAAACTCATTAAAGTCATAAAATCTCCAAATAAATATGTTTTATTGTAGTTGTAGGTAATAATGCATTTAAAATGACAATTGCTAAAGACAAAAAATTACACTTTGTAATAAAAGTATTTGAAACGTGCATTTACGATATGTTTTGCTTTGACTAATATTTAATACTAATAAACAGTACAATTAAAGCACGTGGTCGCTTTTTCTGTACAAAAAAATTAACCTGCTCGTACTTTAGATATAGTCAACACTTTCAATTAATCGTAGAAAATAAATAATATCTATGTATGTTAGGTACATCGTTGTGCAATAGCAATTATTATATTATACAATAGTAATTATTATACAATGACTACTCTGTTTTGCTTTAGCACTTATCTGTTTCCAAATTCTAATAGGTTAATAACTAGATATTTTTAAACTTGTTTGTAATAATAACCACAATCTGAACAGAAATATTGTTTAGAAAAAATCGTAGTCTATTTTAAAGACGCCTGGGAAAAATATGCTACGCATACTTGAAACTTGATCGTTGGGCCACACGTGCTCTTGCGCATGAATGGGCGCAGGGCGGTGCGGGCACAGGGCCGAGGACGCGCGGGGGACGGGAGACGCGGGGCGCGGAGGGTGAGGGCTAAGGCTTTTTTCAGGCAGTACATAGCGGCGCGCGGGCCAAGACGCGCGTCAGAGCTTTTAAGCTCCAGTGTCTGTAGAGGCTACTTACTAAATTGATTATAGAGCCAGTGTTCGGAGATATAGTTCGGATTTTAAGGTTAGTTTTTATAGAAGTATTGCGTGTAATTATTACTTAACTTTTGGTCTAAGTTTTTAATGGGAGTAAGTTGAATAATCAAAACCCTACAATTTATCAAGGGTTTTAGGACATAATAAGTTCATATTTATTTATCAACTTCTATGCTGAAACAATTAAAACATATGAATATTTTTTTTGTCAGGTTTAATCAAGATGTCAGCAGATCCAGCACCGCTGTCTAAGACAGCCAAATATAAGAAGATCACAAAACCACTACTTGAAAGGAAACGGCGCGCGCGCATTAACCGATGCCTCGATGAATTGAAGGACCTCATGGTTGGCGCTCTAGAGGTTAGTACCATTTTCAATGTATGAATTACTAGATACCCAGCCCTATTTATAGAATACGTTCAAGAAATTCATAAAAAATTGTTAGGCTCAGTGCTCATCAAACTGCTATCCATCATCCATTCACACGCCATTTATTTTTATCACAGACCGGTTGTCCTTCTGTTTATTACTCGGACACTTATCAAAGGCCGGCCCGGAGCGAAACTGGAATATAAAAGTACAAGTTCCATTAACGAACAGGACTAGGAGTATCTACTTGGTCGATTGCACAGTTATAATAATGTGACGTTTACCCTGTCGCGCCGTACCGTGTGAAACACACGACGCACCTGCTCCTCTACATTGTTTTTTTCTTTTACAGATCGATGACGACAACTTAAGCAAGTTGGAGAAGGCTGATATCCTTGAATTAACTGTAAACCATCTCACAAAGTTACATCGCCCTAAAGACCCGGTTATAGAAGCGAAGAAGTTTCAAGCGGGATTTGGGCAATGTGCCGCAGAAGCGTGCAGATTTATTATGTCGGTGCCTGAGCTAGATACAAATGTCAGCCAAAACCTCGTTAGTCACCTGTCGAGACTCATCACTGCGCAGCCTCTTACCATTCAAGTGCCCGAGCGTCCGCCTTTTTCCCCGCCGACATCACCATCGTCGATTGTTTCTGATAGACAGCACTATTACAGCGACCACGACAGGTCGTCATCTGATGCTGAAGATTCTATGTATGCCGGCGATAGTTCCTCAAAACAATGGGTGTACAGAACCAACGCTAGAGCGCCTATGCATGCCAACGCACCCCTCACCGGCTTGCTCACGACAATCGATAAAATGTCTTCACATCACACGGAGCAGTTCAACGGTCCATCAAGAAATGGTGCATACTTCAATAGAGTACCAGCTGAGGCAAAAGATGTAATCTTGCGAAAAATCCGACAACACATTATGGATAAACGTGGCAGCGAAAATTATAACACCGGCGACTTGAACGTAAGCGCGGAACCAGTTGAACCAAAATATTTACACAGAGATGAAGCGTACGCAGGCGATGAAGACCGCGATCAATACTCACCACCGCATGCGTCAAACAACAATATTACGCTAGATTTAAGAAAAGTCAGATCTCCAACGAAACTTCTTACGGAGAGTTCACCCAAAAGTGTAGTTGCATACGGCACGAATCAGTTAGACGCGGCTTCCTCCGAGAGCAAAGTTGAAGCGACGATCACTCTTCCGGAAAAATGCGAATTACCGATGGATTACAGTAATTTGCCGCCAAAAAAGAAAAGGAAATTGATCGAGTACCAAGAGTACAAAAAACAAGAGGAGGCAAGGCGACAACTGGACGCTTTTTATGCGGAGAAAAAAGACCGAGAGAGACCACCGGCGGAACTGGACGCGGACGGGAACAAGTGGCGCCCTTGGTAGGCCATTGTTTACGCGCCGTTGCTAATTTGTGATATTGTTAGTCTCTTCCACGAAAAAGCTTTAATTTATATTTATAAGTGTGTTTAATCATTTCATATTTGTTTATGTACTACATATGTTCACATTCGTGCCTAGCGTTAGCGCTAGCGCTAGTGTATTTGTTATTTATAAGATTTAGACCTTTTATAAGACCTAACTTTAGATGTGCCATTGTTTTGATCTCGATGTCTTCCTTGTAAATTATTAAAGTTTGAAGTCTTCCGTAACTTGTGTTAAGGAGTTTTATAATACATCTGTGTGATTATTATGTTAAAGAATACCTTTTGTACTTAAATAAAAAAAATATAAATATCTACCCCCAGATTTAGACATTTCAATCTTAATTAACGCACCCCAATAACAACTATATCGAAAACTAAATAGTGTATAAAGTTACTTGTTTTTGTTTTTTTAAATTCTTTCCGCTAAGGAAAAGACTAAGGTTTATAACCAAATTTTGGTGAATTTTTCTTTTCGTTGTTTTGTGTGTAGGCATGCGTAAAGTTTTCAGTCCATATTTTTAAAATGTGCACAAAGGGGCACAAGTGTGTAACTAGCCACAAATTTTAATTAAATACATACGCCACGGCTACTGTAGCCGTTTTCTGTTATTAAAGAGGTTTTAATTAACAGCACGCATTCAACATACCTTTTTATTTTTTTTATAATAGCAAGTGACGGGATGAACAAGTTGTGCGCCTGGTGTTATGCGACTCGCCTGTCCTTAATTGTTATATAGAGCTTTAAATCTCAAAGATCTGCAGGGCACTGCCACTGCGCCTGTCATCCTGGGACCTAAGATGACAAATCCCATGTGCCCATGTACCTATAATTTCACCAGCAACCTTACCCTTCAAAACCGGAACGCAGTAATGCTCAGAATTCTACTTGGCGGTAGAAATGTGTAAGGTGGCAATACTTTTATTATATAATTATATTTTATCCCAGATTTCCTCAAACATATAAATGTAATGTATTTGATTAAAGTCTAGTATTATCATCGTTTTCACATTACCTATTCCTCGAGTCGTTTGTACAAACTTGCATTTTTTGAAAAAGCTGTAAGTAGCGACCTCTGTCCAGAAAGTACTAAATGTTTTTTGATACTGCAATGGCTAATTTACACAGAACAATTTTCATTTGCATTTTTTAAAACGCCACTAGATGTCACTAAATGAGAAATTTATTTAAGTTCCAACTATTGTCAATAGATGGCGCATGAAAAGCGCCATCTGTGATTTTTATAAATTAAGTACTCACCGGTATATTAAGTAAAGTAAACAAAACTGTGAAACTACTATTCGATACTAGATGGCGCTGATTTTATTTAGTAATTCTAGTTAACGATAGATAGCTCTTTTGATTTGTAATTTCATACTGGCGGCGATTGTGGTCGACACGGAGAGTGGGGCAAGGCAAACGCAAATCAACTTCATTCATTCATTGACGAGCCGGCCGGCCGGTAAGTTGTCAGAGAGCATTCGAAATAGATTGAATGGAACTGACGCGCGGCTTGTAACGAACTTTTTCGACGTTTGAAAAAACGAATATAAATTGACGTTGTTGAAATATGTTGATTTGAAAAAAAAAATTGTGTGGATTCAAAGTGGTATAACTGTCTAGTGCGATAAATTATTGAACAACTCGAATTAATTGGGATTGTTGTGGTGTTCAGATATTTTGGTGCGTAGTGTTCAGTGTATTTGAAACGATGATGTCGTGGTGAAATGCTCGTGGGGGAGCAGTCACCGGCGCCGCGGGTGGTGGCCGGCTTGCGGAAGCTGCGGCCTGAACTGACTCCAGGACCTGTGCCGACGCCAGCTGATCCTACCTTTAGAATATCAGGTTGATATTGGTATTATACTAGTGATTTCTCCCACCTTTATATTGCGTACATGTTGTGGCTTCTGAAGAAGGCAGTTAGAGTTAGATAAGTAGGTGTTACGATTATTTTGACAACAATACTGATACCTCATGAACAACAAATATTAAAATGTATAGTATACATGTGGGTAAATTCATATAGGACCATTTATATAGTAGGTAGGGAATTCAGGAGCAAAAATCTGCCTAAAACTAGTGAATTGTTAGATTTATTATACATTGCATCCATTGTAATAATATTTTTGTTATAATCAAAAATACACTATCGAACACATAATTCGAGTCACCTTGCGTTTTTATACATAAACGGATATAATATAAAAATATTCTTATCGTCGAAGAAAACAGTTTTCCCCGGTTTTACAATTTCAGGTTTTCAACAAGGAGTTATGGATATAATTAGCACGGCAATTTCAAAATTACATAATAGTTTTTGACCAATCAAACATACGGTGTTTACTGTAAGATTATATGTGTTGACAGTACGGGGGGTAACTCGTTTCCTATAGATCTCAAAAACCAACTACGGGCTTCACAGTGCAATTTCGAAATTACTGCTTTCAGTGTAGTTGCAGCTTACTGCTTCTCCGTAGAGAAGTATCAACAACACAGACATATAAATCTAGATATGTCTGTGATCAACAACGTAGTGACACAATTCCATAATGTACATTAAACGTTTTATATTAAGCGTGCGGTGCGTACGATTTAATACTGGGGCATTTATACTGAAAATGCAAGATGACTCGAAATGTGTCCGAGAGTGTATTTAATTCAATAAGAACACTGTTAAAGTTATTTCGTATTTTCGATATCTCCACGTAAATTGATGTAAATAAAAATACATTTTTTTTTTAAATTAAATAATAATTATTATTTATTAACATATTATAGGTTCCATATTTAAAAGTAAACAAATCACTTACTTAGTGCTATATTTACTTATCTACTTACTAACCTATAATATACATAAAATAGGATATATTTCAGTTAAAAAGCAAAAATGGTATTTTGCTTCGAATTTACCTGGGAGGTATCGATTTTCATTTTCATTCTCGACACCAATAAAAACGTACTTAATTGTGTGTCTTCGTACATAAGAATGTACTTCTTAGTTTACTTGTTTATATATTGTTTTAATTAATTAAGTAATTCTTGTTATCGGTTTGGTCAAAGTCTTTCTCTTCATCCAACAGAATCAGTACTATCCCTTTCATTGACAGCACTAAAATAATAGCGCATACAAAAATGTGATACGTTTCTTGCCGTAGTGATTATATTGATTCAATATAAAATGTTCAATGTATGCAAATCATTGAATTTTGCCAATACGCTGTTGATAGTTTTCTGTTCACCATAGCGATGGGCGATTGTTACTAAAAAATATCGAATAAATCGATAGTTGCACTATCCTATATTCGATTTTCGATTTAGTTTTCTTTACCGAAAAATAACGAAAAAATAGTTAATAGTTTAGTAAATTACTAATTAAATTTTCTGTGTCTATAAAAGGTAATTTTCAGGTAAGTTTTTTGTACTCAATTTTGGTGACAATTTCTCTTTATTTAAATATTTATAGAATATCATCATGAGGAATTGTTTAATATTCGAGTGTGGTAACTTAAAATATTCTTTAATATACGATACTATATATTCGAGTAATTAAATAATAAAAATCATCACCAAAATTGAGTACAAAAAACTTTCCTGAAAGTTACTGCTCTATACTTTAAGGTACGGAATAAATAAAAAGTCTGTCCTATTACTTATTTAGTACCAATCGATCCTGTTACTAATTTAATAACAATCAATCCTATTAATATTACGATACATTGTCAACAATCAAAACTTAGTCACTGGTAGATTAGTAACTTTTTCCATTTACAGTCTACATTAGATCAACAATTGAAAAGTGTAGTAACTAATTAGTAACTAATTGATATCAACAATCGAATTATTTCGATTATGCTTATAATCCTATAAAATAATTTCGTCCATCGCTAATTCATCACAGAAAGCACTAGGAAATCGCATTATAAAGCCCGTAAGTTAGTTGGTTTTTTGAGACCCATGTAGCAAAACAGTTTACCCCGTACAGCATATTCTAATATTTAATTTTACGATACGCTGTTACTCTCCATGAACTGGCTAAAGCGTATTGATCTACCCAATCTATTAAATCGAAAACATCTGTCTTCCATGGTGGTTTCCAGTTGTACCGGCTGATACAAAAAAAAACTTGTACGAGTCTGCCATCAGCTGTGTGCGAACATGTGCTTTCAAATGCCAAACAATGATCCCTAGTCCTTTGCCGTGTTGCCGTTGCCACTAGTTTGGCGGTAAAATTTAAAAAGAAAGTAATTTTCACAAGTTCCGACGTTCTTATCACTGCATTACCTTTATAATCTTAAACAAGATATAGATCGGTCATTCTCGGACTAATGTTCACTACCTAAGTCATATTAGTGTTCAGTGTCTAATTTCCGTGACAATTTTTATTATTTACCTACCTATATTTAAAAGTTAAAACAAACGTTGTAAATAAACGTAACTCAAAATTGCTGAATCGAGAAAACACAATTTGAAAAATACTGAGTGAATCTTTTTGCGAATAATGTGATTATTTTTATTTATACACAATACTTAATTATCCATTTATAAAGGAGAATATAGAAACTATTGGTTTCATTCGGTAATTTGTGAAATTTTCAAATCGTTTTCCTAATTTCACAATTTTGAGTTACGACAATATTTCGTTTCGTGTGCGTTATATGACAAATTCACCTTAAAATATGTAGGCACCGTAAGCTGAATTAATTATAAATAGTTGATTAAATCCATATCGCAAACGTTAAATTCTCAATGTATAAGAATTTCAAAAATATCGGGTGTAATAGGTTTGTCAGATAAAAAAAATACAAATAATTTTATATTTATAATTATAATAAATATAAATACAAAATAATAATAAAATTTATAATAATATCCAAATATCCGCCACCAATTGGAAAGGATACTGGTTAGGTTTTTCAGTATTTATGCCATTCTTCCATGAGGGGTGCGATATAATAATATCAACATGTTTATTAAACAAGTAATATAGTCATTTAAAAATATCCTACAAAAATAATTCTAAGCGAGGAAAGAGCATCCTTCATGCTTGTTGGCGATAAGGTCGCGGCGTACGCGCAGCCTACGCTGACCGGATGAACTTGACAGTGTAATGGTGACCAGTGTCACTGACTCAATGATTTGTACACCAGCGATGAGAAATTAAAAATGTCCTGTTACTTGTTTACAAGTTATGACTTTGACTTAACTGCTATTTGGACGTGAAATTTACTTGATTTAATACTCAAGTTGAAGATGTATTAAGGCATTATGTCCCTCATATCATAATCGCAGATTACAAATTAGAATTAATTAATAATAGTGTTTAAACAACCAAAGCTTTCTTCTTTTAAATCAAAAATTCTTGATTTAACTGCCTCCGTGGCCGAACGGTTACTATGCTTGACTGCCACGCAGAGGTCCCGGGTTCGATTCCCGGTCCGGGAGAAATATTTGTATGGTTGTATTCTCTCCTGAATTTGGGGTTAATTTATGGTTACCTATATGTTTCCATGACATCCGCGATACAGAGTTTCCCTAGTGCGAGACTATTAGTGTGTGCGTTGCTATTACTAAGAATCCTCTTGGTCTCAAACTAGGAGATGTCCTGTACAATTAGTACCAGAGCCTAGAATTTACTCCGGGGCACTAACCGAAAATTCCAAGCCAGACCTAATTATAAAAATGTATTTCTCCGAATTAGTCTTCTGGGAATTCAACCCTACAGTACAAACCATTGAGCCACGGAGATCGTCAAAGAGATAGGTAGGACTTCAAAGGTGTCTGCAGGTGTACGTTTCAAAACCTCAACATATTTCATATACATGTATACTGTCATTTCATATAAAAACCACCAAATGAGAACAACATAATTCATGCGTTTAAAAATATTATTTTTTTCGATTCGTGACAACGAGGCATATGATTACCAACGGCCATCGTACCACGACAGCGCACGGATCTCCTCAAAGAGGGAAAGTCACAAATCTTGATGTCAAACGTCAATAGGTACTGATGCCTCCATTTCATTGCAAATTGTTAGTTACGTACGACGTATAATGAATATAATGCGTACGTAGATTTCCATAAACACGCTACACGCAACTCCACTTCATAGATTATACCAAAAGCCCTTTCTTTTGTTCGATGGTTCAAGCAGGCTTAGCGAAATATATGTTAAACCCCATTCTAGCTTTGTTTAGTAAAGTATACTAATAAAGATAGTTGCTAATCCAACTTTAGCTGTTGACTTGGCTATAATCTGCCCTACTTTCGGTTTCTTGCCTTCCTGATACGCCACACGCAGTGTTTATTGTCCATTAGTACCTCTTACACTATGCGTACTTTTGTGTTTTTAAATGTTGCATAACGGAACGCAAAAATATTTTGCATAGCACCGCAATCGTCCATTATTTTCTTATGTCAATAGTCTCTAGTCTCAAAATTTACATTACAATTTATGGTACAGACGCATCTTATGCTAAATACGATGCTTTGCTACGATTACCAATATAATTATTTATTTATTAAAGGACGTCCAACGGGATATCCGACATCCATTTTGAAGTTGTCACTATATTTGACCACCATGATATTTGATTATTTTTGTGAAATTGCTTCACACTGTTATCATTATTTATACAAGGATCGAACACTGAGGAAACATTCTTTCGATCCGGCTGGATTTAAACCAAAGTCAAAAGCCACAAAACGAACTAGCGGACCTTACGCATTTTTTTATGTGCTTGTTGCAGATCTTTGTTTCTGGTTTTCAACGACTTTTTTGCCATCGCCATTTGTGAGAAAGTAATAGTTCAAAAAATATTTTTGTATGAGTAGTCATGACGCCAATTACAGAAACCTCACACATAGCATGCCGTGACATAGTGCGTTTATGATTTATGACCTAATCGTGTCTTTGCAATAAACATCCAACATATCCTAAAAGAACAACAGTTTCGTTATAATTCGGTTTTCGGTGTGATGAAAATTCGAACAAACGTTGTTTCGGAAAAAAAATTCGAGTTTGTGACAGGTACTGTTTATGATCTAATAGTTTAATTAGATAGCAATGACACAATTAATATTAAAAATTTAAACCCGAAAATAAAAATATGTTACAAGCACAGATAAATCAGCAAGGTACTGATTATTTAGTGTTACTCTGTTGACTAGATTTGTTGAAATTTCTTTTCTAACTCTTTCTTATTGTCGGCAGGCGTTCTACGGCAATACTATAATGACGACACGGAATCTTGGGCCTGGGTGCGGGCCGCTGTCCACAACGGGTGCCTATTGGCATGGCGCGACGGGACCCTACCCCGGCGATCAGCGGCACAACTGCCGCTGCGACATCTTCATTTGCGGGCCTCGGCGGCCCTCCCTAACGCGTTTCAGCTCTCAAGGCTCCGGGACGACGCTTCAGTCGCCACATTTCAGGTATGATAGATTCTTTTTATCAGCACTTTTCAGTTCGTCGCATACTTTCTAGGATCATGAGATAGGCATAGGCAATGGTATTTGTTTAATAATTTCTTCATATATCTATGTATTATATTATTCATTGTATGATACCAAATACATATGTGTTCCATCTTAACCCTACCTAATTACAATAATGCACATACATATAACCCCGCACCAGGGAAACCCTGTATCGCGGGTGCCATGGACACACAAATAGGCAACCTCACAATACACCGAAACTCACGAGGGAAAGGAATGAGTATTTCATTGTAAAAGTGATGTAAGTCAATATTTAAAAAAATATCTTTTCATCATATCTTTAATTATAAACTAATTATTATACTTTCGATTTGTATTAAACAATTAAAATTTAAAAACACTGAAAGAACACTTGTATTTTTTTCCTACTGTTTCAAAATTTAATTACAAGGAGATAATTCACTTTCACAATGAACGACACAAATGTTGGCCATACAAATATTTCTCCCGGCCCGGGAATTGAACCCGGTACTTCCGCGTGGCAGATCAGCATGCTAACCGTTCGGCCACGGAGGCAGTTTATATAATGCGTTAACTATTTTAACTTTAGAAGTTTCAAATATTTGTTAACAGTGTCCAATGTCCATGTGCCTTAGGTTTGTGTATCCGTAATAGTTTTCTACTTTTCAAGTCCGCGAACAACCAGCTCTTTAAGTATCCGGGAAGCATTGTAGAGCAGCGGACGAAAAAGCGGAAAAGCATTACTTTTGCGGTGTTTCATTTGTATTACCGTCAATTTGCGGTTGCCAGCATCGGTGCATTAGAAGTGGGCTAATTACCGGCTTAGCTCTCTGCATGCATTAAATTAAGTACTATTGAAATAACGTGACTCCAATCGTATTCTTGTACGTCTTGTTTCTCTGCAAAACCAACCTTTTGAATAAACTTAGCGTACCTACAACAATACATTGCCGTGAAAAACGCCCACAGTTTCTTTTAGTCGAAGGTCAATGCCTTTGCCGCATCACTGATGTTTAACTTTTAATCACAATGGAAGTAGCATCAATCTAACAATTAGCTAACGAAGAAAACATAACTGATCTTTATCGAATAACAATCCAGGTAAAACGTGTACGTACGACGTTGCAAATAGTTTGTAGTCACGCAGTGGCTCGGGTCATTGTTTAGCTGTGACAATGCTGTCATATCTAATGATGGACGCTTGGTATAGATAATACTATAGACGTGACACGCCTGTCGCGCTACACAATCTGTTAAGAGAAAACACTTCAGGGTAGAAAAGAGGATATTGACACCCACTGTAATCAATTCACATACGGTAAATTCACTTCTTTCTCTCCAGATATTGGCCAATAAAACTATTTCAATTTAAGAACAGTATATTTTTCTATTTTTGAAAGTTGTTGTTTACGATAAGGGCGATATGATTTTCTATAGCCTCAAGCGAACTAGAGTAACGTCTTACAAGACGGTGCAGACCCCATCTTTCTCACGATTCGCCGGGTTTAACAGACCTCAATAAAGCGAAACACCCGTAAATCATGACCATTGTGTCTAGCGACCTTTTGATAGCGCTATTAAAATTTACCATATGAAGGGCTAGACTCGCGAAGGTGTTGACATGTAAAGAAACACGTTTTAATAGTAGACATTTAATCCGATCCCAATCGTAAAAGAGGAATATGGATCTTTCGTTTTGAATTGTAACTTTGTCTCAGACAGCTGTCCTTCAAATTTGCATGTTGCGTTGGTTGACCTGCAATAAATTATTGAAATGGCAATATTATCGCAGTCATTTTGAGCTTAAATTGAATCGTAAATTCTGCGTCTCTATTGCAGCCAAATATATAATGTAACCTTTCATTGTTGCAGACTTGCAACGCGGCGGAATATACTCGATGGGTACGCGCTCTTTGTGTCGAAATACTGCGCCAGACGCCACTACCACAAGTCCGGTTTCTGGACGTCTTACCCGCTGCGGACACATGTAAAGAACCAAAGAATGAAACGTCTCAACTGGAGACACCTTCATGCCCTCCCAGGCCGCCCCCACGAGCGCGACGGAGATTATTGACTTCGCCAGAAACTCTGTTGCCGCGAAGAGATCACTCACCAGCCGCTACGGATGAGGGCATCGTCGTAGAAGACGACGACTACGACTCATCGTCCGATCGGAGCTTTGACCTCTCCCTCGACGCCTTGAAAACCACTGACGTGGTTGATGCGCCCGTACGGAAAGCCGAGGTCATCAAATGTGACAGTTGCAGCAAGTTGAACACAAGTACACAACATCACACGCTGCCGCGCGCAGCGAGATCTAGTGAATTAGAGCAAGGTCGACATCGTTACCTAAAGCACTGGGAGGGGACGGCAGGGGGAGCGGAGCGTGGCCGTTTCGTGATGGAAGCGGCGAGACGCAAGACTTCATCGCTCGAGAGTCGGGCTAGGTCTTGCTCGCCGAATGCCCACGTAGCGGTCGCCCAATATGTTCCTGTACGAGAACGGAGAGCATTATTTGAGTCTTTATCGCAAAGTGGAGGCAGTTTAGCTCGGAGCACAGAACAATTGACTAGGGCCATCACAGCAACACAAACGACACCGCGACGGGCTGCCTCGCTACACGATTTACAAGCACCACCGACAAGATCTGTTAGTGATTTGCGACAGTTCTTTGAAGCTGTGGCTCGTGGCACGAGCGGCTCGTGCTCGATTGGTTTACAGAGACATAGCGCTCCGCCTAATCCAGTGACCCGCGCATTCTCTTCACTCACCTGTGCCTGAGAACGATTGAGCATAATGAAAAATCCACTTGCAAAAACTGGCCTCTGTCGGCTACATAAAAAGCTGCTCTGAATACGACATTACAATTTTTGTAATGCGCCGCGGCAAGTACCTTGTACATATTGTAGATAGACTCACGGCGTTGATCGCCGAATGTCTCACTAAGTCGTTCGTTTTAAGACTGTTAAAAGTATTTTATAAAAGTACCTAATATAAATAAAATGCATTATCTATTATTACCCTTTTTTGTTGTTTCATTTTTATCTCGGTTACTGTGACCGCACACGCGAAGCTAGCGTAGTAGTAAATTTAATTGGAATCTTTTTATTGAGTAGTTGCATGCAGCCGTTACGTTGTCTGATGAACCGTAACAAGTAAATAACACAATATAGTAGTTAATAGCATTTTGACAAAGGTGGTTAAAATGTCACTCGATAAATGGCGCGGGAAAGGTCGCAAACTCGCGTCCTCCATTTGCTTTTGTAAAGCACATTCTCTTGCAAAACATTCGCTGAGTATCCACGAACAGCGTACTGCAAATCTGCTAGCACCACGATTTACCATTGTTATCAAACCTTATTCACGCTTTTGGTACGTTTACACTTAGTAGTTGGTCACTCGTGGGTGTTTAGTGTTGAAATTTGTGAGATAATTCGGCCATTCTTCCAAATGACCTGTTGCTATGACCACAATAATGTAATGTTTTCTTACCATTGTAGTCTTTGCCGGTAGATAAGATTATACTTACTCTTATCTTGTATGCAACTACAACGGCCTGCTAAGACAAGTACAACTAAGTACCTACATCAAGATATTCCAATCTTAGTTTCAACAGATAAGAAAGTTAGCGATGACGGTATTGTCTGTTCCTTCAATTGTTACAAATAAATTAGGAATGTCGAACTAATGAATAAGGAAGATAAGATTAAAGAAATGCTTCCGAAAATAATGCACGATGTGTCAGCATTACGATAACTAATGAAGTTCATGTTCAATGACTCAAGTTTTGAGAAAATAATTATAACAATTGTACTGGTAGATAAGTTCAAAACTTCGTTTATACATTCATTACATTGCAACGGGATGGTGTAACAAATTGTGTCCTGTAAGTCATATACTTGTACTAAATAGACGTTTACGTATATCATAATTTAAAAAGCGCTACGTAACACAATAGACACACCCGTACAGTCAACTTCTATCTATGAATTTGATCCGACGACCCCGTCAAAAAAAGGACATCATCTCATCCATCCTTTTCTAACACCACTAGGACATGCATGTTCCATTTAATAGTACCAAATTAGCAGCCGGAATGCAGCCGTGTCGAATGGTGGCTGCAACCTCACAACCCGTAATTCAATCAAACAAAAAAGCCCACCGGACAAAGAGATAGTAGGGAAGAAAAAACTGACAAAGGCACCGAGGGATGATACAGGTAGCGGGGATCAAAGAATTTAGATTTGGACATTAGGGTGACGGTATAAAATTTCTTTAAGGATTACTCTGGGTGATTGTAAAATGCCCGTCTCGGTCTACAGGTACCTAATTCAATTAAGGCTATTAGAAGATTACACTTTATTGACTTAAAAGCTATTAACAGCCATTAATTAAACTACATATTAAACCTAAGGTTTCTTCAATACAAGCTATAATGTTCCCTCATGCTGCAGCATATCTGAGGAAATCGTCGTGTTTAAGTTGTTGCTTTTATGCTTCATACCTACATGTTTTCAAACAATTATCTCTTTCGATTGTCTAAATTCAGTGTTTTTGTACTGTGATCAAAATATTGATTAATTGAACGCTGAGATATCCACTATAGATTGGATGTGAAAGTTTCCCGAATTTGTTTTCGGTATAATGTTTATAGTGTCACATAATCTATTCAAGCACAATGGTGTACGCTGATTCGAATCGGCAAACTCGGACAGTGAATGCAGTAGCCTTGACGTGATTGGTACTTTTTTTCTGATGGCTATCACACAATCTAACACCTAACAATCGTACCTACTTGGTGCAGGGTCACAGAGCAGAATAAGGTTGGTTATGTCGTGATAGATGAAAATCATTTGTTTGGAGCACGGCGGTAAATGTTTTTGACGTTAAGAAATAGTCATTGTGTTAAATGGGAAAACGTGATTGGGAACCAACTTCAGCTGGAATAGATAGCGATAATGGGACACATTATGGACCCCTCTACGATACTTATGTCGATTTAAATATAAAATACTTTAAATTATGATACATAAAGTTGAGATTGGAGATCTCTTGATTGCGTATCGTTGACGATAGAAGTAAAGCAAGTATATTGTGGCATATATTGTACATGGAGGTACAGTAGATGCCCTAAGATAGCTGACCCTAAGCCTGAAATTTGTATTTATATAATATAATTAAAAATCAAAATTTCTTATAACGACATTCTCTAATGATGCAATAAGGAAGTCATGCCAAAATGAATTTTACACTTTCTTTAACACCTTTCTTCACACTGATCTACTCGGACCCAAACAGACGGTTAAGGGGTCAGGTATGTTAGGCATCGACTGTACGTAGGGAAGTTCGAGTAACGACTAACATAATTTGTAGATGTTTCTAATAAACTTTGAGCACCTAATTTTAATTCCTATTTGTTTGTATGCTTCGGTTCAAAGTTACAAATCGTTTTTTGAATAACAATAAATATACTCACACTTACCGAGTATGCCTACCTAAACGATAATATGATAATGAGTGCCTAAATAAAACCTGTTATCGATTCCAAGCATATTTAAGTTGTTCTTCCTCCAAAAGAATAACTCAGGAACAAAAACATCTGTTCTATTTAATACGCCTATGAGAAAGCGTTACAAATGGTATAAAACTATGTACAAGATTTCTACAATTGAAGAAACCTTTTCATTCTATGAAGCTATAGAAGAAAGCGGAAGTTAAGGAATAAGAAATTATTACATGTTGTTGATGAATGAAGTTGCCCAAATGGGTCATAGTTTTAGGGGAGCAGTGACGAACAATTGATTGTGTGACAACACAATAGACGGCTGTTGGCGAATGAGGTCGCCTACTTCAGACGCTCTTCGTTCGTGAATTAAAAGTAATTTTTTGATGGGTACTTTGTCAATGTCTGCTTTGGACGCGGACAAAATTAGAAGCTTACAGATGTTCGGGTTAATCGATCACTAGTAAAATGAATAGAAGTCTTTATTAGGTCATATTAAATAAATAAAAACTCACAACCCCGCACTAGGGAAACACTGTGTCGCGAGTGGCATAGACCGAGACGAGAGAAATAAATGTAGGTCATACAAATATTTTTCCACCAGTATGGTAACCGTTCGGTCTCAGAGGCAGTTTTTTTTATGATACCAAATAACGGGACGAACAAGTCTTGCGATTGATAGTAAACGACTCGCTTGTCCTTTGCAGTGCCACTTAGAGCCTTAAAAATTTGCGGGACACGACCCGTCACTCTTAGACATAAGTTGACAAGTTACATGTGCCTGTAATTTCACCAGCACCTTACCCTTCAAACCCGGAACGCAGTAATGCTCACATTAATACTTGGCGGCAGAAATAGGCAAGGTAACAACTCTTTCACAAGGAGCTACACTGCTGCTAAAGTTAAGTTAAATTAGGGGATACTGTAATAAACGCAACCGGGAACCCAATACTCACAGATTACTACTTACATATTATTTCATACTCAGTTAAGCTAATTTAACTTAAAATGGTCACATTGATTACACTATGTTACTCATTCGTGGTAGATTTTCTAGAGAAGAACGAGCAGGAAACTCTATAATAATAACCTTTAATGAAAAGTTTTTGTTTCATTATAGTTTTAAACCTCGTAAATGGACAAAATTTTGAATATCAACCAGAATCTGATTATCAAAGCGTATGGCTACATTCATTAGCCTTGAGATGAACAAGTCCAAAACCAAGATAATGTACAACTGTCCGGCCCAAAAACCACCATCTTCGTTGGGAGCACCCAGCTACATGTAGTTGACGAGTAAGTACATTTATCTTGGACTCTGTTTATCTTTTGGCCGAGCTTCCCAAGACAAGGAGATCGCAAGAAGCTGTCCGTTGGCATGGGCCGCCTTCGGAAAACTGGAGGATGTTTAAATCTAAAATCCCTCAAAGCCTGAAAACAAAAGGCTATAACCAATGCGTCCTGCCCATACTTACGCGGCGCCGAGACATGGCCGCTCACAAAGGGATACATGCACAAAATCAGAGTAGCACGAAGGGTATTAATATTACGTTTGTCACTATTTTTCGCAAAAATATTACAATTCTTCTTAACATTAATTGAATTTTCATAAATATGCTTTGACTCTAATGTAGGAATCTTAATTTATTTAAGCTTCTCAACTTCTCTTGCCCTAACCGCACGTTTCTGCTGGAGAAACATTCTATTAGGTAATATCGGCGGCATTACCCCAAAGCAAAATGCCGTAATCTTGATCATATGAAATTTATAAATGAAGTATGTACTTGGACCAATAACCAAAAAAATATATAAACATTCTGCTAAGCACAAATATGTAATCACACATTTGAAATGGTCTAATATCAAATAGATGACCAGTCCCGGATAATTTTGGCTATACCCGGCCCCGTTAGGAAATTAATAAAAAACTAGAGCGGACAATGTGGAATTTTGACAGCATATAAATAACTTACGGTACGGCAGTGAAGCGGCGATATTGTAACGAGTTTGCTCGACTTATTGCAGCTACCAGTTATTACGAGAATACTAATTTATCGTTTCTGTTGGAAGAAATGTTTGGCTAATATTGGCCTCTGCTTGTGTTATGTTGGACAGTCTTGCTTATATTCGACGGTAACGCTTGTCGACCGCAGAATTAAGATGGCACTACTTTTGATTAAAGATTATAAAGATGCATACCTTGTATTCGGATAGTCGAATCTTGAAATTTGGTCTATAAGAAAAAATAAGACGATTCTTTAAGTAATGGATAAAATTGACTTTAAACCGACATTACATACATTGCTCAGGTTTCAAATTAAGTAACTAAAGCACTTGTGTTATGGAAATAACGACACGCGGTACTACAAACACCTAGACTCTAGACAATACAACAAAAGTTAATTTCTACACTAACCCGACTGGGAGCGAGGCGTGCAAATTGTCTTTAGTAAAGTCGGATCAAAACACTTAACACTTGCCTTAACAAACTTATTAGCACACAGGATACTAGTACCTACA